AGAGAGAGAGAGAGAGAGAGAGAGAGAGAGAGAGAGAGAGAGAGAGAGAGAGCTTGTGGAGTGTGGGCGGTTGGGGGAGCACTTGTACTTAAAATACTGCGGAGGGGGGAGGGCTAGCAGAGGGGAGCAGCCCGGGAGGAAGAGGGAGAGAGAGAGAGCGAGAGAGAGAGAGAGAGAGAGAGAGAGAGAGAGAGCACTGACGAAGAGCTGGTGGTTGGAGGGCTTGCAGAGAGCTGGCAGTCGGGGGAGTGCTCCCTCTGGCGTTACACTAAGCGCCTGTTTTTTTTTTGCCAGCACCTTTTTTTTTTGCTGATTCAAAACTCAGCCACACTCACCCCATAAAAATTAGAACTGGGCATCCTTTCATTCTCTAAAATTCACCTTGCTACCGACCTGTCAGTGCTCCTAAGCCTGTACAGAGGACCCCTGCTAGCATAACCACTCTCACAATCACAAGGAGACGCCCAGGGTGTTGTAGAGGCAAAGGACCAGACCCGCGGTGATTGCTGGTAGCGGCAGCCAATGGTTGTCCTGACAGGATAGGCCACCTACCCTACCCATCCCCACATTAATACTCCCAGCGCACCCCCTGTCCCTACTATCCTACCTCAGTGTGACCAGCAATCAGGACCATCACCCTACCAGTATTGAGGGCAACTTGGACCAGCCAGCAGTGACAAGCACCAGGGCTGGGCCAACCTCCCAGCCCTAACGGAAGTGGAAGCGGACGAACTTGCCGTACGGGAACTTCGGGCGCCAGGCTCATACAATCTTCTACAGGCCCAATTCAGAGAGTCTACCCAGCAGGATTACCAAAGCAGCGCAGGCCAGCGCCCGGACACATCCTACTGTCCTTCCCCTAGCTTACCCAAGGCTAGGCGGAACTCAGACTAGCCGGAGCGATTCATATCCCTACCCTACCTTAGAGCTAAGCCATGCATGCTTAGACCCCGTCATATACCTGGTAGACCCCCCAGCCCAGTATCGTAGTCGTGTGTATGTGTGTGGCCAGAGGCTATGCATGTTTGTATAGGCCCATAGGGCCATGTTTTTGTGTCTGCCCGAAGGCTATGTGTGCTCTGGGTAACTGTATAGCGAGATACGTGTGCCCGAAGGCCAGATATGTGCAGTACTATGTAGAGGGACTATGTGTTCGTTTTTGAAGAGATGACAGGCCAAGCTGGACAAGAACCCCCCCCAAAGTCCCAAGCCAGACTTGAAGCCCAGATACGTGCAGTACTATGCAGAGGGAACTACGTGTTTGCTTTTTGAAGAGATGACAGGCCAAGCTGGACAAGAACCCCCCCCCAAAAGTCCCAAGCCAGACTTGAACCCGTGATCTATGACATGTGACCTGAAGACTCTACCGTTTGAGCAACAATCGCAAACGTCCCCTGCGTGTGATATGCCAGACTTGGGGGGGATCAACAGGACAACCACGAGCAACAGCCACAAGCAACCCACGCAGTATCAAGACCCGACATAACCACCGCCTAATCAGCGAGTACGGCGGATCGGAGCATTGTGCCAGTAGCTGGGCCTCCA